GCTACCAGTGAGAACTAATGGCAAGAACGAGAAGCTCTTGCTCAGCAATATCCCGGTTGTGATACTGCCGAATATCATGAGAAAAATTGAGGGAAGTAATCGAATACCTGCATCGAGCGAATGGTCGTTTTGAACGAATTGGAAGTACAGCTAACCGGTTAGATAAATAAAAACCAACGGGGTTAAGATTCATTTACCGGAATGAAATAAATAAATGTTAGGCTCGCGCCCATGCCAGAAGCAGTCTGCGCGAATAAAACGTCGGCTTCCCAGTTCAGAATTATATCACAAGGGAAAAGCCGATCCTGTGGTGTGGTGCAGATACAATAATACTGCTGCAGGCCAAACAATATCCACACAATGCCAGAACATACAAAGCAGCCAATAATCCTTACCGCCACTCCAAGCGAAAAGAACTCCTCCGAAGTTTAGACCTATGATTCCCGACACAACAGCACCACAAATGAGCACTGTACCAATCCAATCAATAGAGCGCATCCGGTCGACAAAACTTACCTCGCTGAAGTGAGTATTTGTTGATGGAAGTAACAAAATGTAGGATGGAGCTGCAATAGCCCCGATGACAAGATTGATGTAGAACGACCAACGCCAAGTCGCCGAGCTATCAGCAAAGGCACCACCAACAACAGGTCCAAGGATGGTACCCGAACCCCAGCAGATACCCATCAGACTAATATAAACAGGACGCTCCTTGCTGGTGGTTGTCAGCTAGGATATTCAGGGCGCCCATATAAATACCAATTCCTCCGACGCCGCATATTGCCCTTCCGATAATTTCGGCGTTGATATTCGGTGCAGCACCGCAAATTGCGGATCCTATCTCGAAGATCAAGACAGTAGCTAGGAATAAAGTCTTGCCATTAAACTTGCCGAAGAGCTTTCCCCTACGCGAAATAGCATTAGTGAACGGAATTTTGCTTCTCAGGATAGGTGATAAATATACCAAGTAAGATCCAGAGCCACAGATGTGGTTTGGTATGCCACTGAGACCCATGGTAACTTCTCAATGTGGCCTAGATTTTTAATGATAGCCGGCTGGATTGTAGCAACGATAGTGTTATCAAGAGCATACAGGAAGACGGCGGAGTAGATGGAAAGAACGCAGATAATCCACTTTATGCCCTTCAAGCTTCGGGCTGGCTCTTCAACCTCGGAGTCTGATGTTGGATGTGGGCGTACTGCTTCAATATTCTCTTTCGAGGCTACGACGGGGTTATCAGCTGATGGAAGCGATGATTGATTCGAAGTGCTTGTCGCGTTTGTACCTTTTTCCAAATTGACCTCCATAACAGGAGCTGAGGCTGAAGCTCCGTGATATTTCTGATAATTTCCACTCATATTTGATCATATTTGGGAAGCAATTGACAAAGTGTCTGGAAGAGGAGTTTAATGGTTGAATTATCACAGAAGTATGAAATCCATAGCATGGAATTAGGGGTTAAGAGTCGGCTAAAAATCTTGGCTCGAGATTTCTCGGGTAACGCTAATGCATCGCTTAAACCAATGTTCCAACGACAGGGACGATACATGCGTACAATAAATGAAAGCATGATACCTTCTGGCTAGCTATTGGCCGATATCGATTATCAAAGATAATCCAGCGGAATGTCTCATGTCAGCTAGAACAATCTAGGTTACTTCAGTAGGAACGCATCTGCCGTGAACGAGAGGATTTCTAAGCGAGGTAAACAATTATGTATGGGTTTTGCCATGACCGACTTCCTGAACGGCACCTCACCTGGAGTTTATCATGGAGTTAAGCATATATTCTGTCCGATGTTATTGTGCTTGATGGTCGTCTTCATCTCATACCGGAAATCCCCTAGGAACACCACCAACCTGCGGGGTATAAAACCTCATAAAAATCATTATACACATCTCGTGTATACTACATGTACGCCGCGCATCTTAAAAAGGAAAGCTCGTGACGGCAATTAAGAGATACTTTGATTAAGTCAAATTTCTAATATCCAACAATGTCTTCCATCCTTCTTATCGGCGGAAACGGCCTACTTGCACGCTGCATCACCAAACGATTGTCATCAAAAAACATCACCGTTCACTCCGTCATCCGCAATGCAAGCCAGATTTCGGAGCTTAAAAGGCTCGGTGCTTCGCCCATCGTTCAATCAGTCTAGGATTCCACTGTCTCCGACTTTGCCAAACTGATCAAACCAGGAGTTGTAATCTGGAGTGCCGGTGCAGGTGCTGGTATTGCTAGTGATGCAAGGATTAAGGAAGTCGACAATGAAGGGCACATTAAAGTGATAGATGCAGTGGCCCAGGCCGCCGAAGAAGCAGGCACAACGAGAAGATTCATCACTATCCCATCACTGGAAGTGAGAGATGTAGTCAACAAGCCTGTGCCGGAGTGGTACGATGAAGATGAGAGGAGGTTCAGCGAATGGTTGTCGCAGATGTTTAGAACATATCACGCGGCTAGGTTGGCATCAGACAAAAGTCTGGTTGAGAGGAACGTGCAAAGAAAGCTTGACTATACCATTGTGCGGCCTGGTTGGATGAGCCAAGAGCCAGGAGTTGGAAGGATTGGGGCTGGCAAATGTAGGATCTCGGGCCAAGTCAGTAGGGAGGACGTCACGACTGTGCTGGAAATTTGCATGGAAAGTGAGAAGACGATAGGCCTAACATTTGATGTTGCAGGAGGTGACGTACCCATTGAAGATGCTGTCAACAATGCTACAGATAGCTTTGAAGGATACTATTGATTTATACGGAAGGTTAGGAAGCGCTAGCTCCAGATGTCTTCCTCAAACTTGCCCTATGAGTTTTATGTTTTTTTTGGGTTTTTTTGGCAAAAGCATAATCGACGTTGGTAAACATTTTTCTTAGATCCCATTAAAACCTTGCTCCCCTCGAATTACGAGATGATGAGCATCTTCAGTGAGCTCATTGAAATCACTCTGTAGCATGACTCTAGGAATGAATTATCATGTGATACGTGAAAGAAGAGGGGCAGCGCCAACTGTTGGAAATGCTTGAAGATCTTGATGCGACGGCGCACATGCAGTCCCTTGAGAGTAACACTGCGTTCTTCAAACCATTAATTTTGGACTGCATGCGCTCTATGCTGGTACCTGGGGAAAGAACTACGTTACTGCCGAAGCATTGCGGAGCCGTCATATGCACCGAATGGACGGATAACAAATACCAAAGTATACAGTGTGGAAATAAATGCATTATCAGTGCTGGAGTAGGATGTAAGACAGGAAATGAAGTATATAAATGAGTAAGACCAGATGTGGTATATCGAATTGTTGAGACGAAGAGGAAGCGAAGTAGAGAGCTCTCAACAACAATTTAACTAAAAGCCCGAAAGTGGATTTGACATTTTCACTTATATTTTTGTTATCTCCCATGAGGACTTCGTCCAGAATCGAGCACTTCCACTTTTTGCTGTTTCTTCTTGATATTTTTGAGTGCACAAGATGTCAGGCTGACAAGTTCCCTGCACAGATCCGATTGCCATCGCTGCTATGGGTAAGCCATACCACTCTTTGTCTGTTCACATTTAGAATCCATTGATGATTAATTGGCACTAGGCTGTCGGATGCCAGGAGGTGTCCGCGATCTACCTGTTCTGTGGGAGGTGTGGCAACGAAAGTATTGAGGACCAAAAATTTGACGAGACCACGACTGCGTTACCTCTGGACTTTTTTCTTTTACAATGATATCCTCCTTTGGTACTGCTTATGCATTCCCCCCACAGTGGACTTATCTGAGTAGTGAATAATTTCTTGGATTACTTTGTCCGCTACAAAAGGAGGTGCGGACTACCCGCGTCAACCATTTCCTCAGATTTCATTAGCGATCTGGGTGCCTTGACTCAAGATACAGTCACTGTCAACCTTTTCGCACGCACTAAAGGTCAGACTGTTACTGCTGGAGCCTGCCTTTGTGCGCAGGAGCGACGAGCCTAACGTCCTTCAACAATGGCTTGGACAAAATGAAGATCCTCTATCAGAAGCCAACATCGTTACAGGGATAGACCCAGCCGTCCTTGTCTCAATGAGAAAGGAAGAAGCCAAATTACCCAAAATGCGCTCCGTGAGTGCTTCAATACCCAGATGGTATCACGATGCTCGTGTCTCCGTAATGATGCGTGCTTTGGACGACGCATGGCGACACCAGGCCGGAGACGATAAAAAAAAATCGCGCATGACTTGAATTCTACTGCTGACAAATCTCCAGCTGCACAATTGCGTCAAAAATTCCAAGTTTTATTTAGGAACAGCGATAAGGAAATGAACGCGGCGGAATGCCTCAAGGCAGTTACGTTTGTCGCAGACGTTATACGTTCGACGGTGGCAGGTATGCTCTTCATTGATTTATCGGCTGTGAAAAGATCGGCCACAGTAGCAGAGCTTGGTATTGACAGTTTGTTGGCGGCCGAGTTTCGAAATTGGCTCCATAGTGCATTTGGAAAGAACATAAGCATGCTGGATTTGATGGATGTAAGAACGAACATCAATGCACTCGCAGAGAAGATTGTGAATGAGGCGTCGATGTCGTAATCTGCCTAGAAATAAGAAGTATAAGAAGGATTTCTCTTGGAAAGATTATCTCTGAAAGGTTCAGAAGTAATATATTCGTAAATGTTTGCATGCGCTTAAATCGTGGAGATGTAGTTGCTTTACACCGCCTTTATTTTGCCACAAATGTGAGACTGACTATTCTTGTTCTCAAATCGAGATTGGGATATTGAGAATGTTATGAAACGTCCTAGTAAGAAATTATCAGGTTGTCAAATTTGAGATGGGGATAGTGAAAGTTCATGAGGTATCTACATGTGGGCTAGGACAGAAGGAGGAAAAACAACAACATCTTAGTAGCGCATCGCTTACCTAATCCACAAAACCAAAACCTCAACCCACCCTATCTATCCACCTCACTCACATCACCCATCCCCAAAAATCAAATAACCACAAACCGGCAAAAATAATCCAAAGCAAAAGCAAAAACGACTCGAATGGGACTCGAACCCACAACCTTTGCCACCGGAAAGCAATGCGCTACCATTGCGCCATCGAGCCTCTAGACTAATCCGAAGTCGTCGTTATTTGAATATGTGGTTGAAAACCCCCACTATGTACCCCGCACCATAGAGACTAAGACCGCACTTTGGGGATATTGTTGGAATTTGCTGTACTCATTCTCAGATGGGAGTGGATATCCCTAAATGTGATTTTTGTTATTGATTAACTGAAAATTTTCTTCATCTCGATAAAATTCGGATTTTAACCACGCTATAAATGTAATAGGTAATAGCTAGCTAATAGCTAGACCAACGTAACTTTCTAAGCATATAATTTACGGAGGAAATACCCGAGCGCGGGCACTACAATAGCATATCATGGAGTAGACTTTACAATCTAATCTAATTTGTATATCCAACTTCTACTTCACATCCCACACCCTCACCCATTCATCCCATTCCATCAAAAGTAAATCATCAAAATCTCCACCCACCCACAGCATCCCACTTGCACTCATCCAACTCCCCACTCCGCCCTAATCCACACAAACCCCCCTCCAACCCCCGCCAAACGATCCTCAAAAAACTAAAATTAACATTAGCATTAACCTTAACCTTCCCTCCCCTCCTTCAAAACCTCACTCCCCCTCCCCATTCCCTCTTTCTCAGCCACCAACCCTTCCCCCTCCCTCTTCCCCCAAACACAAAACCCAAACCCCCAAAAAAACGACGTCGGCATGATTCGAACATGCGCCCCCGAAAGGAATTGATATCGCATCATTATCCTCTCTTCTCTCTCCTCTATCAAGAGAAGTAACAATATAATTCGAGTCAATCACGTTAACCACTCCGTCACGACGCCTATTTGCTGACTAATACACGAAGAGGTTTTGGATGCGTTTGAGGTTATATACTAGGTACTAATGGAATGCGTGGGGTGGAGGGATTAGTGGAGAGATGGTAAACTCGATGTTGGGGATCAATTTAGAATTTTCAAAAATACACCGACGGGTATGTGAAAATTGTTGTTGTTAATTCAAATGCGTTAGATGTCTCGTCGTTATCATACAATCCTCTGCCGGATCAGACTCTATATTTCCCCGTGTAGCTGACCGTCCTCCTGTGCTTTTTGCCCATTCCATATATGCCATATAAACATTAATACAATACTCATCATAATCATACATACACTCATCAATCTTTACTAACATAACCCAACACAGCGCAACGCAAGCAACGCAACGCAACGCAACACATACATCAAACCCCTCTAAATATCATGTCTAGCCCTCTTACTCTTATGTCTAATCACCTCACCCCACCTATACAAAATAAACGGAATAGGAATAAACGCCACACTAATAAACGCCAACGTAGAACTTGCCCACGGAACCCCCAAATCCGTAAACATGGCATTAGCAAAAAGCGGGAACCCAGCACCAAAACATGATCTCATGAAGTCATTTCCCGCATATGCTGAGGCGGCGTACACGGGGTATGCATCGCCGATGTAGTTGAGGACTGAGTTGAAGAGAAGGAAGGCACCGATGGAGAAGAAAGCTGAGCCAATAATAGGAAGAATCCACTGGATGAATGTTAGTTTGTGGCGGGAGATATATAGAAGGAAGAGAAGACATACGTGAATACTTTCTTTGCTAGTCCACCCAAACCAAAATAAACAGATAGGAATGCAAAAAGCTCCAACAAAAGCTGGTTGCAATCTAATCTCCGGTTTAATATTACCATTTTTATCAAACTTTGGTTCTTGAAATTTCTTCAAGTACCAAAAGAATGGTGGAATAACCACAAGAGACCCGACGAAGATACCCAAGAAAGCTAGTCCTTCTTTCCCCAAGCTAAAACCGTGAATCTCGACAAAAACAATGGCGAATGATTCAAACCAGACATATAGAAGACCATAAATTAGTGCGATGTATAGATTGAGACAGAAAAGAATTGGTTCCGTAAAAGTAAGTGAGAAGGGACGAATGAGCCCCATGTTGATTTTATCTTGCGTGGTCATTTTATCGGCTTCGATTTCTGGTTCGGATTTTAAATTATTGACACCACTGGCTTTTGTGAGACGGAGACGTCGACGATATAATATATTGGCGGAGCTGGTCTCAGGTAATAAGAAGATTAGGACCATCAGTGCGAATCCTGTAGAAATTTTGTCAGTATCAAAGCTAACAGTAAGATATGGCAAAGTCTTGTAAACGATGGATCAACTCACCAGATAACCAAGTCAATTCCCAAATAGTCCAAGTCCACCCTTTTTTCTCCGCAGCAAATCCTCCAACCAAGGGACCCAACTGAGCTTGTCAGTAATCAAGAATTAAAAGAAAGAAGTTAGAGAAAAACATACCACTGGACCTGACACAGCAGCCATACCCCAAATCGCAATAGCATAAGCTCTCTTATTTGGCGCATACATATCACTCAACGAAGCACCTCCAGTAGCCAATACAGGAGAGCCAAAAAAGCCAGTCAAGAATCGAAATATAAGCATCATGGCGAAATTCCTCGCATATATAACACCAAATTGTAAAACCACAAATGCAATAAGCGTGCCAATGTAAACGGGATTTCGACCAATTTGAGGTATCTCACTCATGGGAGACCATAACATGGGACCTATACCGTAACCGGCTACGAATAAGGTGAGACCAGCAGTGGCAGCGACTTGACCGACTCCGAATTTTGCCATTACATCTAAAATACCTGCAGAATAGATGGCTGATCCAATGTAGACGGCGAAAGTCAATAGACAAATGAGGAAAGTAACGAAGAACTTCTTTCCTGTCGACCAGTTTTGTGGATTCTATTATTGATATTCGTCAGCATTGTAACGTGGGTTCGAGACTGTATGCTTGAATATGCTAGAGCTACAACAACATACCTCTGAATCATAAACTCCATCAGTTTGGTCCCAATCAATAATTTGAACATCTATGCCTCCATTCTTCGTATTCACACCATTATCATTTACCACTCTTGTTCGATCCGAACTTTGCGTCGCGTTTGAGGGTCTAACGTATTCTCCATCTTGACTTGGACTATCATTATCCTTATCATCCAGTAACTGTCCTTGTTCAGGCTCATCACAACTCCCATATTCCCTCACGTTCTGCGTCTTCTGGATATGTAGATACTTCCGCCAAGTAACTGGATTTCCTTTCTCGCTGTCCGCCGGCACACTTCGTTCCTCTGGATATTTCAAAATTCTATTTCCTGATAATAGCCGTAAGACCTTTCCTGCTGTCGCATCTCGAAAGAGTTCCTTCATTTTGGCCCTTTACTTGTCAAATTTGTTGACAACACCAATGATAAATAACTGGATGAATAAAAACTAGTGTGGCAAATCAATTTGCCTGTAATAAAACAATAAGTAGATAATTCTAGAGGTAGAATTTAAAATTATTGATAATAAATAAGCGTAGGGAGAATAATAAATATGTGAAGCAATATATATTTAAAAAGGGATGTATATATATATATATGAAAATGATATGTATGAGAAAAGACGAAAATTTTAGAGAAAGAAACAAATATAAGTATGAAAACCAAACCGAATCATCATATTTTCTCTTCCTTCTTCCAAATACAACATTCAATTCTCGGCCATTTGAATAGACCATATGATATCATACCTCATACCTCCCTAGTAGTATCAACGGGACATCAAGCAGTCCCAACATCAACCTTACCCAACACAGCAACACTTATCAGTCTTTTCCCATCAAGCCCATCCCACAGCCTCATGATCATATCAAAAACCAACAATGTACACATTAAACCCGAGATCTAAAGTCCATCCAAGTAGGCTCAATAGATCAACAAATACCCAGGCAAAACCCAATAATCACCATCTCACAGACACCACATATAAATTGTCCGGAAACTGCATTAAGCTTAAACTTAATATGCACACATAGACAAAGCATAGACTCGATATACCCCCATTGTTTCGATATGGCGAATATGCTTCTGCATGCACGATCAATCAATGTCGATCAATGAATAAAGCTTGAGGAAAGTTTCATCGATCGCTGACGTAGATGACTTTTTGGAAGTCGATTAGTCAACGTTGATCTTTTGTTTGTTTTGTCTGAGCACATCGCTTGGCATTTTTTTGCCCCTTAACTCCGGGTTTAAAGTACGCGATGAAGGAAATATCTCACGTCTGGGTATCTAAATCGAAAGATCCAAATCTAGACCAAAGAGTACGGTAGCAAGTCTACCAGGTAGTTCGACGATGAGTGCCGCCACACTTGGAAAATTTTACATTTACCCATCTCGCTGGATCTGCTCTATCTCACAATAGTCATTAACCACTAATTTGCTTCTCCTCCGTACCCCGTCATCCGTACATTTGTATATATTCCCTAAGTAGCGCACGTTACATATAAGACTTACAATTAACAGCGGACTTTCAAAGTATAATAATATACTCGATTATCTAAATAATATCTACACATCCCTCCTCCCTTTCCCCTCCCTTTCTTTCCCATTTCTTCCCCTCCTCTTCCCCCTCCTTCCTACCAAACCACAATAACCAAATCTTACCTCCCTTCACCAAGAGATATGAAATAACATAAAGCTATATCTATCTCCATCTCCATCTCCAATCGTACACACATAAACACACACGCGCATACACATACACAAGTAAAACAAGCAAAGCACTTTCCAAGTAATCTTACTTCCAAAACCTGCCTACCTACTCATATCTATCTCATCTCACCTCACCTAGCTAGTAGTGATTCGGTATTCATGAATCACAACCAACTAACTCACAACACCCCGCTTTCCCCGGGTACTTCCTCGGCAACATCCAAATTTCAAAATTCCCAATGCCTGATTCCCTCCTCCCTAATTCCCTAGCTCCCGCCCACTCAATCCATCCATATCCATATCCATATCCATATCCATATCCATATCCACATCCACATCCACATCCACATCCATCCTTCATCACCCCAAAAATCAATCTAGAACATTACCTAGAACATTACCTAGAACATTACCTAGAACATCACCTAGAACATTACCTACCTA